CAAAAGGAGCAACTGTTCTTTGTCATTGTTTAATGCCTTCATTGAGGTTTATTTGTTAATACTTATCAAGTGAAATGGAAGTAAAAGTTCAGTCTGATCTAAAAATAAGAGTTTCATGTCTGTGTGTTAACAAGCAGATGTAACTTAATTCACAGTGAAAATACTATTAAAACCTGAAATATGCTTGTTTCTATTAAGACTGAACCATTCTAATATAATCAGGAATGTTGTTTGTTAAACCACTGAAACAATGACCTCTAACTGACTCAAGCATAAAAACTGTACTCAAGAGATTAACCACAGTTTTTATCCACAATACTTTTTTTTTTTTATCGTCGATTTGTTGTGTAGGTGTTAGAGACAAAGAAGTTTCTTTTTATTAATCTTGTCACATTGGTTCAGTCAATACTCTGTTTTTAAAAAATGTTCAAAAGGGGCTGTTTAAAAAAAGCTTGATTGACGATTGATTATTGTCTGCAACAGACAAAACACAGTAAGAGATGGACTTCTTATTGTAAATGTTATATCTTTGTTGTCTTTAGAAGTTCTTTTGGAACATTACTGTGAGAATGTTCAATGTGGCCACATTATCTCAGTGAGGAGCTACTTCATAGTAGATGTGAGGAAAAATCCAAGAAATCCGAGAAGTTCCCATGTTAATAAAGAAGAAGGAGCAAGTTGATGAGTTTTTCCCATGAAGATGTTGATTCAAGATTCAACAAGTTTATTGTCATATACACCACAAAACACAAGTGGTTACACATGGCAATGAAGTTCTTACTTTACAAGTAAGAATTACTTTCCCTTCATACAACAAAAAAACAACTAACTGAAATAAAGAATAAACTTAATTTTGAGCACAGGAAATAATAAATAAAGTAAAAAAGGTGCTTATGTATGTAACTTATGTGTGGGTGTAGTCAGAGTTTAAAGTGCAATTAGTTGCAACAGTGTCACAGTGGTAATATAATAAAACATAATATAATATAATAGTTTATGTTGTATATAAATAAACAAAATTGCAGATTTACAGGTTAAAGATAATCACAGTTTGATAATAAGTCAGTGATTCAGTAGCCTGACGGCCTGTGGATAGAAGCTGTTTTTTAGTGTGGTTGACGTTGCTTTCACACTCCTGTGGTGTTTGCTGGACGCAGTCATAGGTGAAGAGGGTGTACAGGAGTGGACTGAGCACACAGCCTTGGACAGTCCCTGTGCTCATTATCTTTGTACCTGATGTCCTTGTACCAACTCTGTCTGCCTAAGGTCTGCCTGTGAGGAAGTGCAGGACCCAGTGACAGAGGGAGGTGTAAGTCCAAGAGTGGAAAGCTTTCCCACCAGTCTGTTTGGGATGACAGTGTTGAGTGCTGAACAGTAGTCTATATACAGCATTTGAAAATAGGTGTCCTTATTTTTAGTGTGTGATAGTATGGTAAGAAAATTATTGTTGTAGTGTGTGCATGAAAAAAGAGCCTTAAACCCCGAGACACCTGAGGAATAAATGACACCTTAATTTTGTATAAAATAGCTCTGATTGGCTCTTCTGGAGAGATCTCCCTCTGCTCCACCAGCTGAGTCCAGTCTGCGCAAAGTCACATACAGAGGAGGAAGCATCAGTTTCATCTGACTCAAACACTCCTCCATAGCCCAGTTTTATGTTACTTAAAGGGTTTTTTCCATTTCAGTGTATCTCATGAAGAAGTACTTGTAAAACACACACACACACACACACACACACACACACACACACACACACACACACACACACACACACACACACACACAGATATATAGAGATATACAGATATATAGATCTATATCTCAATAGATAGATTTGTGTTTTGATTTTATGTATATTTTACAAATGTCATACAGAATTTGTGTTTTTAAAAGTTTTTAAAACCGCATAACAGGAAAAAAATTTTAAATTACATTTATTGACATATGAACAGAATTCCAAAATATTTAACACTTTCTTCCATAAAATGTAAATGTGACAGATCAATTTCCTTTTTTAAAATGACAAAACTTGGGTTTAGTTTTAAAAGCTACATATAAAAATTGAAAGACAACTATTATTATTCAAATTAAAGCTGCAGATGTCTTTATTTTTGATTAAGTTGTGTATATATTTGCGTTAAATGATCAGGACACGAGGACTCAATAAGTCGACCGAGGGTTTCCCAACCAGGTAGTAGCACATTCATGTGAAGCAATGGCGTTAGCAGCATCTGACCAATCACAAACACGAGCATATCTACCAGGGACGTGCAGAGAGGTTTAAAGGGGCGGGTGCTCAAAGTTAAAAAGGGGCACATTGAACCAGGCTGAATAACAACAACACACATTCATCAAGAATCTAATATGGGAAGGGCAGGGCTGTGTTGATCTGAGACTGT